CTTGTTTCAGGAGAAACTTTACGGTGGAAAGGTATTAAAGATGATGGCATTTTGAGAAGCTATAATAGTTCCCTCAGAATCCCATATGGATTTTAAACAGTCAGCTAGAGAAAAGGAAGTTATGATTGGGGAACCACTATAAAATCTTGGTCAGCAGATTAAAAGCAAGAGTTGTACCAATACAAAGAGGAAGAAAGGATACTTAATCTAAATTGGTAAACTTGCATATGTTAGGGGTTTAGTCTCTTCAGCTTTGATTCTACATGGTACCAAAAAGATACAGACTTTAATAATGCCAGGGCAAAGTGTCGGGGATTTGGGGAGGTTTCAGATGTAAAGAAGGAAAGAAAATGGAACAGATATGTCATGACAAATAATATGTTTTGGGGGTGGGGGTGGGGAATATACCCTTTTAAAATCAATTCAAATTGTAATTCATGGAGTATGAGAATCAGGTGGAACTCTATGACCACTCTCTTGACAATGATGACAGTCTGCCTTGCATTTTTATAGCACTCCTTGACTTTCAGAGTGCTTTCATAAAGAATCTAATTTTATCACACTAGCAGCCCTTTGAGGAAGGAAGTTCAGAACTAGCAAAGCTGTTTTTGAAAGTTTTTAATGCTGAATCCATGAAGAAAAGACCAGGAGAGAGGCAGAAAAGTAATGGAACCAACAGACAATTTCCAGGAGGAGGAAGAACTTCAGGAGAATACATATAGCACTAATAGTTAGGAACTTGGACAGCACGCAACAATTGGGATAAGTTTATTTTAGTGTGTATGTAGGGAACAAAAACTGGAGTGCCAGAGATATGGAAGTGATTATAAGCAATGAAAAGAAGGAAAAACAAGGATCTACAAGGGAAATGCTTAGAGAATTAGAGAATCTCATGGACACTGTTAGAGCTAGAAGGGAACTTAGAGTCAATCTCCTTCAACTCTTCTGTGGATAAAGAAACTGAGGCGGAGAGGTAAAATTACCTGGCTAAGGCAATCTACAAGGGGCAGCTACCTGGCCAGAATAGACCCGAGTTAAATCCAGCCTCAGACATTTGCTCTATGACCCTGGGCAAGTCACTTAAGCACTGTTGGCCTCAGTTTCCTCATCAATAAAATAGGGATAACAATAGCACCTTCCTCCCAGGGTTGTTGTGAGGATCAAATGAGACAATAATTGTAAAGCACTTAGCAAGGTTCCTGGTACACTGTAAGCACTATATACAAATGTTAGTTATTGTGATTAGGAGTGTGTCAGAGCTGGGACAGGAACCCAGATCTCCCCAGTCTAAGGCTTTTCCCTTTCATCAGGCTGTCCTGAGGTCGTTAAAGCTAAAGGGCATGTTTAGGAATTTCCCCCTTTTCCCCATGATATGGGGGTTTAGCCTCTTTAACTTTGACTCTACATGATACCAAAGCGAAAGAGATTTTCATGGAAAGTCTGTATGGAAATGTCATCGAATTTGGACCCTGAGGATTTTGGGGATTTGAATCCTGCCTCTGACCCATGCCTGATTTGGTCAAGTCACTTTCATTGCGTGGGCCTCAGTCTTCCCTTCGATAAAATGGATGGGATGGGTTCTTCCAGTTCTTCGACTTACGAAGTGCTGAAACCACAAATGGGAAGTGGATTCTGAGATTTCCATGAGAAGGTATGGGGAAGGGGGTGGGAAGCTGGGGGCTGCTTTCTTAGGCTGTTTGGGATGGCGCTGTGAGGAGAGAGAAGATGCTCAGAGACTACCCCGTGGCTTGTTGGAGAGAACGACCCCCGGAGAGCACAAAACGAGGAGGGGGAGGAGGAGGGGGGAGGGACAGGGAAAGAAGCACTCCCTTCCCTCCACCTCCTGCACCCACCAAGGGTTAATCGAGCGACCCAAAGACCCGTGCGCATCGCGGGCTCCCGCCTCCTCCCGTTGCTAGGAGACGCCGGAAGTGGAGGAAAGGGGGCGGGGGCTGGGAATCGGGCTTTCAGGCCCTAGGGTCGGGAGCCGGGAGCGCAGGGTGCTGGAGCGCGTGCCTCCGCGCGCGCCCCCGTGACCGGCCCCTCCCCCTCCCTCCCTCCCTCGCTCGCTCGCTCGCGCCCCCCTCCCCACCTCGCGCGCAGCAGTGGGTGTTTCTGGTTCTTCGCGAGTTGCCGCCGCCGCCGCTCCTCCTCTCCTGTCTTGGGTTTCCCTGGTGCCGCCGCCGCCGCCGCCGTTCAGTGTGAGGAGGAGGAGGATGTGAAGATGGCGGAGCTGCAGATGCTGCTGGAGGAGGAAATCCCGGGGGGCCGCCGGGCCCTGTTCGATAGTTACACTAACCTGGAGCGAGTGGCCGACTACTGCGAGAACAACTACATCCAGGTGCCCGGCGTCCCCCGGGCCGCGGCGGGCTGGGGGAGGGGCTCGCGGGGCTGCGGGGGGCGGGCGGGCCAGGGGCCGGGGAGCCTCGGCCGCACCGGGCGGGCAGCCGCAGTGCTCCCGGGGACTGAAGCCGCCTGACGGGAGCGAGCTCGGGGGCCTCCCGGATCCCTGCCCCTCCCCCTCCGCTTCCCTTCCTCCTCTTCCACCTCCTTCTCCATCTCCTCCTTCCCCCTCCTCCTTCATCTCCTCCCCCTCTTCTTCCCCCTCTTTCTGCTCTCTTCCTTCTCCCCCGTCTTTCCCTCTTCTCCTCCTCCTTTCTCCCCCTCCCCCGCCCTTTCCTTCCCCTGCCGCCCCCCGCCCCCCGTCCCTGGCTGCTTGCTTTGGGGCGGGGGCGGGTTGGCGGGGGCTGTGATGGTGGCTGTCGGGCTTTGCCTCTTGGCGCTTCCCCTGGGTAGGGGTGGCACGGTGGGACGGTCCTGGTGATTGGGGAGGGGGTTAGAAGGCTGAAGCTTGGAAACACTTAGCAAACCACGAGTGGATCCCCCACCCGGTGCGTGTGTCATGTCCCTTCCTCCTCATTTCTCCTCCCCCACTCCCAGCCCCCGCACTTGAGGCTTGTCACCGCGTTTGGGATCGTGGGGGAGGCTGAGCGGCATTTTAAACATTCTCGATCACCCCCACCCCCAGTCTCTTTATTTGGTGGATGATTTATTTATAATTCCTATGTTTATTTTTTGCTTTTGGTGCCCCATCCCCTCCTCCCCTCTCCCTGCGCTTTCGATAGTTTCGCGCTGGGGAGATGGATGTTGCTGCTCAGCGCCGTGCCGAACCCCGTTCACTGGGCTCGTGGATTTTCAGAAGGTCTTTTTTTTGGCGGGGGGGAGCTAGCAAGGAAACGGTGGGAAAACACTTGTTTCTTGATGAAAGTTGTAATTTTTTTTTCTCAAAAGGAAAAAAGGGAAGCTGCACTATAAAGAATTCTCTCTTCAGTTACATGATTTTTTTTACCTTTGGGAAGGAACACTGTACATAACTTGACACAAATTATTATGAAAGGAAAGAACTCCTGGCTTCATTTCTTTCAGTTTTTCAACTGGGGGTCTGATTGGACAGTGGGAGACAGTGAATCCGCTCCTGTGATAAAGCATAGGTTTATATAAAAGCACAGATACCTTTTAAAAAGCCTCTTTTCCCGTTAAGGAATGGTTTATTTGGAAAAATTCGTTAAATATAGAATTCCTGAGCTGAGTACCCTTCACTTGCCATATAGTTTGTTAATTTTCAATTACAGGTCTTCCATTTTTCTTTCTTTTCTCTAGGGATAAAGGTGGTAGTGGAAAATGTGTGAAAATGTTTCCTCATTGTTTTTTCCATTCCCTTTGTTCACATTTGTCCTTAACGTTCAGGTGCAATATAAAACTAATACAGAGAAGTTCAAGGTAAAATTTTTTAGGTTCACAAATATTTGGATGATCGTATGTGATTGTAAGGATATGAAAGGATTGTAAATGTGAGGTTTAATTAGTCTATTAGCATATGTAATGACTTTTCACAGTGTTTTGTAGGGAGCATTTCTACTCAAGACTGAATTAAATTTAAACCAAAAGATTTTTCTCACGATCAGAGACAGTTGACAGAAAAGAAGTTCTTGTCAGAATTGGAATTACTGTGCAGTTGCTTTTTTTTCCCAATAGGAAAGTTGTGGGACAGAAGAAATTTCATCCGATAGTGGAATGAAGAGATTTGGTGGATTAGAGGGATATCCTCAGATAGACTGGTACCCACTTTGGAGGAGTTGGTAATATACTATAGAAAATATGTAAATCATCAACGTTTTATGAGGGTCCACTGAGTAGATGGATGGGTTTTGGGATTGGCAAAAAAGGAAAAGATGTCCTTGTGGTCAAGAGTTTATTATAAAGTGAAAATAAAGGTTGGGAAGAGGAAAGAAGTGAATGACTTTTTTTTCCTTTTAGGTCATACCTGCAAACTACACTTCTCTTTATTGAAGGTTACTAGAATAAAAAGTTTTATTTTTTTATCAATTACAGTTGTTAGTGAAAGGTAAACTTTTATGGAATAATAAAGTTAGAAGTTAAATGAGTTATTGATGCTCCAAGAAATCTTCCTTCTCTCTTCATTCCCCTGCCAGTGAAAGAGCTGTACAGTAAATTTTGTACTTTGTCTAGCTAAAGACATTGAAAAAAGATAAATGTAGCTACAAAACATTAAATTATTATCCTGACACTGGTACTCCAGAAATAATTGCTAGATACGTAATCAAAATTCAAACAAACAAAAGACTGTAAATACTTAACAGTAAAGATTTGGAGTCTTTTACAACTAGATCAGATTTTGTTTTATGAAATAAATATGACAGTTTAAAAAATCTTATACAGTCACCAGAGCTCAGTAGCTAAAAATTTTGTCCTTCTGGTTATAAAATGAGGATCTCAGATAAGGCTATGCATGATAGCCTTAGAAAACAGAACATGTGCTTTGATTTCAACTAAAGAGTATGGTTTTGTACTGGTCCTTCCGTATTCTTTGCTTAGTTTCCCTAGTGACCAAAGATTTGGCAGGTGGGGATTGGTGATGAATTGCCATCTAAATCCTTAAGTTCATTTGTTATTAAGCTCTTGCTATATGCACATCACAGCTGTTTTCCAAAGATTAAAAACCATTAAAATCCTTGCCTGATAGAGATTTAAGGGTAGTTTACTAGAGGGAAGATATGACCTGTGCACAATAAGTATGATACAAGATGGACTGTTGAAAAGGCCAAAGAAAGGGGCAGCTAGGTGGTGCAGTGGATAGAGCACAGGCCCTAAAGTCAGGAGGACCTGAGTTCAAATGCGGCTTCCGACCAAACACTTGACATTTGTTAGCTGTGTGAACCTAGGCAAGTCGCTTAACCCCAATTGCCTTTTTTAAAAAAAAGAGAAAGAAAGAAAAGGCCAAAGAAAGATCTGAACAATATACTATAAGAATATTTGAGGAAGGAGAGGTCAGTTTTGGAGCAATCAGGAAAAGGTGGCATCAAAACTGGAATTGAGGGGCAGGTAGGTGGCGCAGTGGGTAGACCACCGGCCTTGAAGTCAGGAGGATCTGAGTTCAAATCTGGCCTTAGACCAAACACTTGACAGTAACTAGCTGTGTGACCCTGGGCAAGTCACTTAGCCCCAATTGCCTTAAGAAAAAAAAACAACTGGAATTGAAGGAGAAGAATTTCAGTAGATCAAGCGAGATTGTTCTAGGTATGGAGATTGGTCTCCATGGACATACAGAAGCAGGAGAATGCAAGTCAGGATCACAGACCAGTTAATGCTCTCTTTTCTCTGGAATTCAAATTCTTTGGAACCTGAAGGGGAATGAGATAGTAATGTGAAGTAAAGAAAGGTATGTTGGACTCCAATTGGAGTCTACAATTCTACAATTATAAGGCTTTAAATGACAGGATAAGGAGTTTGTAGTCTGTCCTACAGGTAGGTAATTGGGAGCCAATGAAGGTTTTTGAGGTAGAGGTGGCATGGTGACAGTGAATCATGAAGATTATTTTAGTTACTATATTGGAGGGGAATAGAGACTCCAGTCAGGAATATTAATTAGGAAGGTGTCATATGAGCTTGTGAACTAAGGTGATGGCCGGGTAAGTATAGAGGAGGGAGTAGATGGAAGATATTAGAGGTAGAATTGACGGGACTTGTCAGGTTATATGATAGGACATAAGACAAGCAGACAATTTCAAGTAAGAGGTTTCAAGCTTTTGTCACTAGGAGATTAGCATGCCATCAACAGTAATAGGAAATCTGAGAAGAGCTTTGTAAGCTAATAAGATAGAAAGTGTTGTAAAGGGGAAATAGTGAGTTGAGTATTTGATGTAATGAATTTAAGGTGCAACAGGATGAACAATTGGATCAGAGGAGAGATTGGGGCTGAATAGGTATATAGGTTTTGGGCAGCTAGGAGGCTCTGTGGGTAGAGTTCTGGGTCTGGAGCTCAGAAGACCTGAGTTCAAATCCTGTCTCAGAGGCTTACCCCCTGTGTGACCGTGGACAAGTCCCTTAACCTGTGCTTCAGTTTCGTTATCTGAAAATGGGAATAATAATAATGTCTACCTCCCAAGGTTGTTGTAAGGATCAAATGAGATAATAATTGTAAAGTGCTTAGCACAGTGCCTATCACATAATAAGGGCTATATAGATATTAACTATTATTAGCTATTATAATCTGCAAATAATTGATAATTGAAGCAATCAGTCAAGCCAAGGATAAGATTACCAAAGTAGAACATATAGAGATAGAATGGGATGGAAGTATAAGCCTTGAGGTGTACCCATAATCAAGGGGGTAGGAAGGAGGAAGATGAACCAGTAAAGAGGACCAATTCAGAGTAGTCATTTTGTTTTGTGGAAAAGTGAATTTCAGCAATGAAAATAATAAACAGAAACTTAGTGATCGATCAGGTGTAATAAGTGGCTATTCATTTTTTGATTGGACAGTTTTTCAGGTTTATGTCAAAAATTCACAAGTAAGATATTTGCAAATTATATAGAAAATATGTAGAACAAATGAGATCAGTATTTTAAATATCCTACTTTAAAAATTTTACATTCTACTTTAAAAAAATGAGAAGAGAAAGGGCAATTATTAGGTTTTGTCCTTTTGACAAAATTTGTACTGTACTGTAACCTCAACTAGGCCTTTCCTGCTACTAGGCAGTTCTACTATATTTCCCTTATCAACTTACTATCCCACTCTCCACAGTAACTCTTCCACACCTTTTCATCCATCTGTCCTCAAACCTCCCTTGGCTCCCTCACTTTGCCTTCCCCTAATCTTTTATCTGGGATCTTTCCCTTATATTTTACAGAAAAACAAATGAAACCATTCACTTTGACCTTCTCTCCTCTTCCTCATTTCAAATGCCTTGCCGACTGTCCTTCACCCCTGTATCATACAATGAAGAGGACTTACTCCTTACCAAGGTTAACAAGTCC